AGGCTCTGGGACCAGAAATTTGTCATCCAAACCTGCACGAGCACCTTCACAGATGATGCCTCCCCTAAAGGAAATTAGCACTACACTGCAATCCTCCTCCTCTTCCTCATGCTCCGCCTCCCCCTCCTCCTCCTCCTCCTCCTCCTCCTTCTCCTTTTCCTCCTCCTCCTCCTTATCCTTCTCCTCCTCGTCCTGCTCCTCCTCCTGGCGCCCGAGGCAGCCATAACTCGAGGAGAGCGCCCAGCTGCGGGGCCGAAACCAGCTGCACGCAGCAGGCTCGTCCTTTTCGGCTATGTGGTTCTCTTCACCCCTCTGGAAGGCCGAGGCACTTTCAAGCAGCCAGAGCTCGACGGGAGTGTCAAACGGCGATGTGAATGCTGTGTGGGTCGGAGTCGATGGGGTCGGAGGATCGAGCCGCATCGGCGATGCATCGGCAATGCATCGGCGATGCATCGGCGACGTCGGCGTGGAGACAAAATCGGGATCCACATCGATCGGGATCCACATCGAGCCGCATCGCCGATGCATCGGCGATGCTGCGCGATTCTACGACCCCATCTGCTCGGACCCCATCTGGTGAACTCGCACGACCCAAAGGATACAAGGGGACGAGGAAGAAGAAGAGAAGCAGGGCGAGTAGGCGGGGAAGAGGAGAGTAGAAGGTGCGCGGTGTGGACCCGTCGTCCGATAGGCTGGCACACTTGACTTCAAAAGGCGACACCAGGGGAAGGAGGAGGGAAGAGCGCGTTTCTTTATGTTCGGCGATGACGGGCGTCATGGGGGGGAGGGGGGGGGGAGGGCGGGGGGGGGATGACCTGACGCCCCCCCCCGCCGAGTGGCTCGGGCACCACAGCCGCGCCCGCGCGCACGACGCGACGAGCGACGAGCGACGAGCGACGACGACGACGCGAGCAGCATGTAAGTGGCGATCTGCCCATTGCGCCTATGTGCACCACACCGCTCGCGTGCACCACACCGCGCGTGTGCACCACAGCGCCTGCGTACACCGCAACAGCCGTGTGCAATGCACCACCTGTGTATACCACAATACTTGGGAGCACTACAGCGCCGGTGTACATACACCGCAGCAGCCATGTGCAACACAACGCCTGCGTACACCACAGTGCTTGCGTGCACCGCAGCGCCTGTGCACGCCACAGCGCCTGTCTACACCACAGCATCCGCGTGCAACGCAGCGCTGGTGTACACCACAGCGCCTGCGTGCACAGGACAAGTGAAAAGAACATGTGCGTCAGGATCTGCTGCGGACAACTAAACGCTACGCCAGGAAAGTTCTGAGAATCGAATACGACATTCCTCCCTCCTCCCTCCTCCCTCCTCCTCCTCCTCCTCCTCCTCCTCCTCCTCCTCCTCCTTCTCCTCCTTCTTACCCCCTGTCGTGCGGCTTGGCGTTACAACGCACGTGCGCATCTTTGCGTGCACTGCAGAATGGTCGATTGAATCGGTCCACTTGGTTCTCGGACGGCCAGTTTAGCTGGAGCCTCCTGGACGCAAATGGGAGTTAGGGTGATGCGGGCGGACTCGGGGGGACTCGTACATTCCAGCGGCGTTCCTTTGTCCATGAGGGTTTGTTTTCCATTGTTTTCTCTGGAATCCACACGCGCTCCATTTTGTCACAAGGATCCCTTCTGAAATTCTATACACAACAATCGTGCTGTATTGCACACGGTTGATGTGGTGCACACAGGCGCCGTGGCGCACACAGGCACTGCAATGCACGCAGGCATTGTGGTGTACACTGGTGTTGTGTTGCGCACGGCTGATGTGGGGTACGGAGGCGCTGTGGTGTACGCAGGAGCTGCTGTGCCCGCAGGCGCGGTGGCACAAACTGACGCTGTGTTGCACGCGGCTGCTGTGGTGTACATCGGCGGTGTGGTGTACACAGGCGCTGCGGTGCACGCGGGCACTGTGATGTACACAGGCGTTGCGGTGCATATCGCCACCTACATGTTCGTGCTACCCGTCCTCCGTCATTCCTAAGCATTCCCAGACGCCGCCGGCGCGAAACGTGACGTCATCGAGCCCCTCCCCCCCCAGATGATTGCCGCAATCGGCCCGGACTAAAAAACAGGCTCCAGCCGCGTCCGCGCGCACGACGACGATGAGCGACGAGCGACGAACCACGAGCGACGACGACGGACGACGACGACGACGACGACGACGACGACGACGACGACGACTCCTGCGGACCAGACACCCATGCGGATTCCTACGCGGACGCCTACGCGGATCCCAATGCGCACGGCGGCAGTGCCCGGAGCGCACTGGGGGGGGGAGCGTTACGTCATCGGGGGGGGGGGGGAGCGGGGGCCATGACGCCCGTCATGCCCCAAGCAATAAAGAAACGGGCTCGAACCACTTCGGGTGGCATGTCATGATGGGGGCGGGAGGAGGAGGAAAAAACACATGTGTTTCCCCGAGCCGTGCTTGCACTTAGGGCTCCTTACTTCTCTTCCGATGAGCTGGGCCTGATTGTCGGTCTGGCGGCTATGGTGTCGCCGTCCTGGCCCCGTCGCCGCCTCGTCCCCGCCGGTCTTTTGGGCCTGACTGTCGGTCTGGCATCTGTGCTGTCGACGTCGCCGCCCCGTCGCCGCCTCGTCCCCGCCCCGTCGCCGCCTCGTCCCCGCCTGTCGTCTGGGCCCGATTGTCTGTCTAGCGGCTATGTTGTCGCCATCGTCGATCCGTCGCCGCAACGTAAACTGCACCGCAGATATTGCACCACATGGATTGCACCTCTCAGCTTGCACCACACGTTTGGCACAGCAAACATTGCATCACTTAGATTGCACCACGACGAATGCACCACATCGGTTGCGCACCGCATAGATGGCACATCATACGTTGCGCGCCACATAGATTGCATCATACAATTTGCACAACGTAGATTGCACAACATAGATTGCACACCATTTGGCTAGAAACACTCTGTTTGGGGTCCATGCTGGCTAACCCCAACGATGTTGCAGCAGCGATGAACATGCGAAGCAGAAGGCACAAACCGGTCTGCGATAGGCAAGCGAGAAGAAGAGGCATACGCATGGACGTAAACTTTTGAAGGTCCGCGCGGACTTCCTGGATCAGTACTGCATCGCCCTCCCTGGCACGCGGAGCGAATAGGATGAGGGAGAAACATAAGCATGAGCAGAAACGTTCGGAGGTCCACGCGAACTTCTTGGATCGGCACTGGACCCCCTCCCTGGCGCGCGAAGTGTGCGCGCAGGACGAGAAGCAAAAAAACAGACGCATAAACATTCGGAGATCCGCGCGGACTTCCTGGATCGGTGCTGGACCGCCCTCGCTGTCGCGCGGAGCGCGCCAGAGGGCGTCGCAAGAGGCGCCGCCGGGGTCCAGCGCCGACCCAAGCAATCCACACGAATTCCCCGCATCGCAGCGCCCTACATCTCATCCGCCCCATCGGGAGCTCCACCGAAAGCCCTGGTGGCAATGCTCGCATGCCGGCACGCCCGTTTAGGTGCACTCCTCACACGCCTCGTGGCCCCACAGAGAGCTCCATCGTTCATCTACCTCACTTCTCATTCCTGATCCCCGCGCCGTTGTTGGTCCTCTGCCTCCTCATCGAAGTGCCAGTCCCCTTGCCTTGCGCTACTCGCAGCTGCGAATGGTTGGGCCGTTCGCCGAGACATGCTGTTGATTGAGGGATGAGCAGCAGCAGAACGCGCAGGGAAGCAGATGACGGCAGGACGTTGCACCACCGCTGCTGATTGGATGGGGTCGGATCTCTGAGATCGCCGAGGTCTGGAAGGACGTCCGTCTTCGGCCTGCACGGAACAGGTTCGGATTGCGCCCAGACGGCCACCCCAGGTTTAAGTCGGGCCTCTCCCCCTACAGGGGGATCTTCGACGAAGAATTAAAAAAATACCCCCAAGATAGTCCAAACCTAATCCAAACATACTCTGGGGACTATTTGTTTGTATTGTTTAACCTTTTGGGGCCTTTTTGGGTACTTTTTTGTCGAAATCCCCCTGTAGGGGGACGCGCCCGACTTAACCCCAGGCGGTCCAGGCTGGCCTCGGCAGGCCCCCCGAGCAGTCCAAGGCTGGCCAAGAGGCTCCTGGGATCACCACAGGTGGGGGCTGGCCCACAAGGAACCTCCGCAAGCGACCCAACCCTGAAATCCGATTTGTTCAGTGAAAATCCAAAAGTTGTCCATCGTAAATCGTCAAGATCTTATTGGAGGCCCATCGAAATCCAAGAAACCCAGGGCACCCTGGCAGAATCCAACTTGTCTCTTGGCACGCGCCCCCACTGCAGTCCAAGGCGGTCTCAACACACCAACACTGGGGCGCGGAGCGCCCCAGGGCGCCGCCGGAGGCTGCGCTGGGGTGCTGAGACCGCCCGAGACTGCTCGGGAGACCTTGAAGGGGCCCCAGGACACACACACACATAAATACACACAAATAAGAATATCCCCCATATTTTCCCATATCTTCTGGGTTTCTGTCTTCCCCCCCACTTCCCATATTTTCCCATATTTTCTGAGGAATCGCCGATTCATTGTGTCTGTGTGTTTCTTTCCCTCCTGAGACCTGTCGAGGCCAGCTGGGGCTGCTCGAGGCTCGGGGGCCTGTCGAAGGCCGCGGGGGCCCGCTGGGGGGGCTGTCTGCGCGCAGCCTGAAGCCATGCCATGCTCCAGATCTCGTAGTAAAAGGGAGGGGGTCTGGACCCTCCAAGACAAGCCATTTCAGACCCCCCCCCCTGGGAGAACCCTCCAAAACATCGTCCCCAGACCCCCCAGGCCCTCCAAGATAGCCTGGAAGAGACCCCCCCCGAAATGAGACCCCCCTCCCTTTATTACGAAATCTGGAGTACCTATGCTGAGGTCGGGCAGGTTCTCCTACAGGCGGGTTTTGGAAGGGAAAGGAAAACCATCCAAGCATGCTCAAAGACACTCCAGAAATGATGGAAAAGTGGTCACGAGGCTATGTTTGGACTATTCTTGAGTATTCCTCCTGTAGAAGGACACGCCCGACTTAAACCCATGCCTCAGCGGAAGGTGACACGCTCGGCCAGGAGCACGAGAGGGCTGGTAGAGAAGACGACGCCGCCGACAGCGCTCGCTTAGCTGCGCCGGCCTCGCGCAGCAGGAGCCGGCGGTGGGCCGTGGCCCCAGCCCTGGGGGCAAATCGAGCAGGGCGAGTTGAGACAAATGGTAGCTCTAAATCGGGCCCAGATCCAGGAGGGGGGAGGGAGGAGGGAGGAGGAAGAGGAGGAGGAGGGGGAGGAGGGAGGAGGAGGAGGAGGAGGAGGAGGAGCGCCAGTAGCCTGTGGAGGAGGAGGAGGAGGAGGAGGAGGAATAGAAAGAGAAGGAGGAGGAAGGAATCATGGGAGCGTCGCATACCCTCGCAATTCCGTCTTTAGCGTGCACTCGCGTCGATTAGCGCCAGGTGCGTAATCGATGGGATAGAGCCGATTTAGCGTCGATCAGGGTCGATTATTAGCGTCGACTAGCGTCGATTGAGCCACAAAGAGGTATGAGAGGCTACCAGGCACGGGGCTGGCGCAGCCCATCGTCTCCTCCACCAGCCCTCTCGTGCTCCTGGCGCAGTGTTGCACCTTCCGCTGAGGCATAGGTATGGTAAGAGTGCGGTGTGCGCATACACAGCCCCGGGCCCCCAGGTAGTCCCAGTTAGCCTCAACAGGCCCCCCGAAAAGTCCTAGGCGGTCTCAACACACCAACCCTGGGGCGCGGAGCGCCCCAGGGGTCCAGACCCGTCCTTCGGTAGCAAATCATGGGAGCCTTGCATACTTTCGCAATTCCGTCGTTAGGGCGCGTTAGCGTCGATTCGGGTCGGGTAAACGATGAGACATCCCCGATTTAGCGTCGATCAGCGTCGGCTGGCGTCGATTTAGCGCTGATTAGCAAGAGCCAGCAAGATGTTGTGGTAGGATCCCATGAGCTGCCACCGATCCCACTGTAGAGGCAAGGGAACCGTGTACATGCGCCGATCCTGGCCAGGCCCAGCCTGGGCCCGGGATCGGTGCATCCGCCCTCCCGCCTTGGTCAGGAGGGCAGGTGCCCCGATCCTGCGGCCAAGATGGGCATGGCCAAGATCAGTTCATGTGCATACTTCGGGGATCTTCTGACTGACCCGGGTCAATCCAAACCTGGGTCAACCAGGTCTTGCAGAATCCTGCTAAATCCTGCACCCAAACACGGGTCAATGCGAAAGATCTTGCAAGATCCTGCAGGCTCCTGCACCCAAGCACGGGTCAGTGCGTCCCTGGCCCTGCAGGATCCTGCAAGATCGGGCGCTCTGGCGGACCCCCGTTTGCCTTGACCCCTGTCTCGAGGCTCCCGAACACTTCTCCTCGCCCGAACTCTGGGGGTCCCGACTGATAGGCCTGTTTTCCACCACCACCACCACCACCACCACCATAAGTTGGAGAGGAGGAGGGGGTCCTCCCACCATGAGCTGGAGGGGGAGGGCGTCCTCTTCCTCCTCCTCCTCCTCCTCCTCCTCCTCCTCCTCCGCCTTCTCCTCCTCCTCCTCCTCCGAGCGCACCAGCTCTCGAAGCTGCGTCTGGCCGTGGCGACGAGAGGCCCCCCAACGAAGGCCGGCTGCCGCTGCCAGGGTCAGGCAGACGCACCCGTGCTCCGAGCTGCGTCCAGCCGCGGCGACCCGGGGGGGCCCCTCCCTGAAGACCAACCACTCTCCTCCTCCTCCTCCTCCTCCTCCTCCTCCTCCTCCTCCTCCTCCTCCTCCTCCTCCTCCTCTCTCCTCCTCCCTCCTCCCTCCTCCCCTCCTCCCTCCTCCCTCCTCCCTCCTCCCTCCTCCCTCCTCCCTCCTCCCTCCTCCTCCTCCTCCTCCTCCGCCTCCTCCCTCCTCCCTCCTCCTTCTGCTGAATTCTCCTCCTACTCCTCCTCCTCCCCGATCCGCTCTCAGAGGCCTCCCGAGTAGGGCTCGAGTAGACAGGGTCGGAGGATCGCTGCGCCGCATCGTCAGAGCATCGTTGGCGTCGGCGATGCTTCGGGTTGCATCGCTGAGGCATCGGCGATGCGGCGCGATCCTCGACACCGTCTGCTCGGACCCCATCTGGGAGGCCTTCACCACCGCTGTCTCCGCTCGGCCCTCCTCTGAGCAGAGGGGGGGGGGGCTGTTGCCGAGCGACACCACAAGAAGAAACAACGGCATACGAAAACATCGCATTTCGACGGACCGCGTGCATTTCTTGGATCTGCGTTTCCCCACCCCCCCTGGTGCGCGGAGCGCGCCAGGAGCGGCGCCCGAGGCGCCGCCAGGGGAACCCCCGGCGCGGATCCAAGAAATCCGCGCGGAGCTCCGAGCGAGCGAGCGAGCGAGCGTCCACGTGGCCCCATTGCGCGCAGAGCCGCGCCCACTCGGGCGGGACGGGGCGAGCCGTGGCCCGTCTGAGGAACGGCGTCGATGACCTCACGCCTCGGTCGCGAGCTGGCTGGTCCCCTCTCCGTTCCGCCATGCTGGAAGACTGCTTGCCATC